AGTTGGTTGCATGCCCGTAGCCAGGATTTTGAATGGGGGGTTCTTCCCACTGCTTGAGGGGACCTCAAGCGCCGTAGGCGCGAGGCGAGCGCCAAAGGCGCGAGGTTCCTAGGGGGGTCCGGGGGCATGCTCCCCCAGAAAATTTTGAAAAATGAACCTTCTAAAATGGCATTTTGTGCATTTTTGAGAGGATTTCCAAGAAAAAATCAGAGATAAATTTTTATTCAATGACAAACGGAGCAGTTTTTCTACGATTCCAGTCCATCTTTTCAAGAAAAATCTTGGACCTTTACATAAAAAGTGGACCAAAAAGTGGACCTTTACATAAAAAGTGGACCAAAAAGTGGACCTTTACATAAAAAGTGGACCAAAAAGTGGACCTTTCAGCCTTGTGGAGGGGTTCTTCCGAACCCCCCGAACCCCCCCTGGCTACGGGCATGACGGTTGATTTAGTTGTGCATTACGTAATGCTCTACCTGGATGTCTAACCTTTATCAATGTACCCTTTTGCTAGTGGTGTCTAATCTTTATCAACATACCCTTTAGGTAGAGGTGTGAGCCTGGGGAGAAACTCTGCTGCTGTATCCTGCGGTGTGGTTTGACTGGAGGCTGGGGATGATGACTGGTCCACATGGACTGGGGAGGCTGTCACTCCGCTAGAGGAAACAGAAAAAATTAGACAAAGCATGCGCAGAACGTCATCAAGAACGCGAAACCTAAAAATAACAAAAGGTGTACCCTTAGTGCAGAAGCCAATACAAAACTATATGACACACTACTGACATGGCAGGTTCTAACATGTGAAACCTCAATGAAAATTGACCAGTAGGCTGATACATGTAACACTATATGAGTTTTTCATGAACAAACAAATGCTCAAATAATCAAACTCCTCACAAGTATTACACAGTAGTAGGTTTACAGCACATGGGTAGAATGGCAGAATGATAGGAGGTCACAAGTCTAGCCAAAAGCCAGCAGGAATTAATGGTCTGACAGTCATATGGGGGAAGTCAGGAAGCAAAGGACTGCAAACTTCCCTGAAGTTGGGAATCTCCAATTTGTTGTTCTGACCTGTGTTTGTCCTCTGCCTCCTGCCATGTCATACAGGAGACTGGGTGTGCCAGGGTAGACGTGTGCAGAACCTCAGCCTTCTCTACATCACACAGGACCACCTGCCCACTCTGGTAACCAACACCCAGCACTGCAACACACATTAGAAATAACATTATTCAAAGTTACCAAAGAGGATTAACCAAGATTTAAACCTGCAAGTGCATTGAAAAAAATTATTATTTGACTGGGATATATAAAAAGTGTTTAGATGTATAAAATATTACTTCTCCTCAGTCTTTTGTACTTGTTACTTGTGGTACTGAAGTATTATTTTGGGTATCTGAGCTCTGGATTTGTGTACCGTATTTGTCTGGACAGAGTAAGTTACAAGGTCGTGGGGAAGATTGACTAGCTGTATGACAGGAGCTCAAAAGGTCAGAGAGAGAAAATGGGGTGAATGTGAAGGTCTCAGAATCTGGCGGGGAGTCAGCAGGCTATGGTGACCAACATGGGGGAATTCAGGAAGTCGATGACTGCATATTTCCGAGGAGTCTGAACTCTCCCATTACTTGTTTGTATAGCCTGGATGTCACACTGAGATATTTTGTGTCCAGTGTGCTTTGGGTCTGGCATCCAGGCTATTGTTTGTAGCATCCTCTCGGCTTGGCTTTGTTTCCGAGTAGCACTGTGACTACATTGAACCCCTTTGATATCCATGTATGCTGAGCACTTGAATCGGGCAATGTAAAAGTCAGTCGGCAAAATGCCAGATTCAAGAATTGCCACAGCTACTCCTGGCAGTACCTTGTCCGTCCGGTCTCCAGGCCAGTCCTGTGACACCCTGACCTTCTGAGGCTCCTGCAGGCGGTGAGAGGGTCCAGACCCGCTGCCAGTTCAGACGGTGGAGCCACACCTACAGAACAAAGGGCAAGGTGATGGCATGGCAATTTTACTATCAATCTTTTCAGTAATGGTCAGTAAATTATGATCATGGCGTTACCATGGAAATTATATAGCTCCATGTGTTACTATGTGAGCCAAGT